TTTTTTTTTTTTTTTTTTTTTTTTTTTGTTCTTAACGAATCTCTATCTGTAATTTTTCCTTGATTTTTTCCTGTTAGATCGTTTTGAGACTTTCTGTAGTGAGATCGATCGCATTTCTTTATTATTTTTTTTCTCGCGTTCTTGAATTGATTTGAAGTTTGTGAATCTGTGGTCGTCGACATTATCATTGCTGCATCTTCTATTGTCCTGGAATTGAAATGGTGGTCCAAAGCGAGTCTACCCAACACGAGAAGAATTGTTACTAAAGATGCAAATTTTAGATTGATTTATTTTTGTATGAGCATCTCTCTTTTTCCAGCGATAAACTCAAGAAGGGCTTGCACTAGTAATTTTAGTTTTAGAGTGTGCTTTTCTTATTACTATTCCTCTGTCCTAGTTTTGACACTTCAATTATCCTTGCAATCTTAATGATAGAGACAATCAGATCACAAGTAATTTATGTGTAATGAGTGAAATTTTGGTCCCCAACTAGTAATTGCAATTTCACTATTAGTTTAGATGGTCTGTACTGAGGTTAGGTTGTTTAGCTCTACTAAGTTGAGATTACAACTTTGGAATAACATATACCCGGTATTCTTTTCTGAGTTTCTTGTTTTAAATTCTTTTGTGAGTTTCTTGTTTTAAAATAATTTGTAGCTGAATTTCTTCAAAATGATTGGTTCTTGGTGTCATTGTTTGCAATTTTGAATGAATTAGTGTGCATGCTAATATATGATTTCCATATATCTTATTTTACTGTGCAACATTTCTAAGTGACAATTGGTTGCTTCTGATTTTTACTGGCAACGTTTAGATAGATTAGCTGCAGACTGTGTTTTATGTTTCCTCTTGTATGAATCGATCTCCATCAAGAGCATCTTTTTTGGTCATCAGTTGACTGAACTGTTTCTCTTCCTTTTGCTTCATGAACACGCAGGTTTTCTCTGTTAAGGTCATATGCAATAAGCAAACTGGTCAATCTGAGGGCTATGGATTTGTTGAGTTCTATTCACATGCAACAGCTGATAAAGTGTTGCAGAACTATAATGGTGCTATGATGCCAAACACAGATCTGCCTTTCCGTCTCAATTGGGCAACCTTTAGTGGAAATGATAGGCGACCGGACACTGGTTCTGACCTATCTATATTTGTTGGTGATTTGGCTGCTGATGTAACTGATGCTATGCTGCAAGAAACTTTTTCTAGTAAATACACATCTGTTAAAGGAGCAAAGGTGGTTATTGATTCAAATTCAGGGCGTTCAAAGGGTTATGGATTTGTCAGGTTTGGTGATGAAAATGAAAAGTCCAGGGCTATGACTGAAATGAATGGGATATATTGTTCAAGTAGACCCATGCGCATTGGTGTTGCAACACCAAAGAAAGCATCTGGATATCAACAAGGTTATTCTTCACAGGGTTAGTATTGGTTCGCTTCTGGCATCACTGCTGGATGTTGTTGTTTATTGATCTATTATTCAGTTTTTCATGCTTTTTGTGACATTATTCTTTATTATGGGACATCCAAGTTGGAGTGTATTTCATCTTTTTGGTACTGTGTTTTTCTGGATGGCAAGTTTCTTTTTTCTTTTTATCTTTCTCCTCCTGGTGCAATGATAAGTGAAGCATTATTTTCAAGAAGTTTATGGAACCAGCTGGCAGTATTAATGTTTTTGGCTGTATGTCAACTAGAAGACTAGAAGTTTAATATTTCCACCTGACATGTGCATGGTTCTTTAGCATCTGTCCCAGTAATATTTTCTTTTTTCATGAATGGGTTTTAGACATTGGCATAATGAACATGGGTTTTGTTAGGCCTCCAATTGTGAATGTTTATTCTAGGCAGGGTAGGGAATGGAAAGAATAGTTAGTTAGCTGTGGAGCATTTTTTGCCTTTTTAGTGTGGGGAGGTAGTAAGGAACGTTTTATGAGATATCTTGGGAATTGTGGAGCATTTTTGGAGAGATCGACCCTCTTGAATTAGCTAGGAATCTTGTATGGTGATATTATCACTCTGTCTACTTTAACATAAATAAACGATCCCAGATACCTATAAGTTTTGCATTCTACCTCTTGTGTAGAAGATGTTATAATGATTGATTTATTTCTTAGTTATAAGGTAAGGTGTGAGTAAAATGCAGTTAATATGTTAACTCGTTTTTGAGATGAGATATTAATTGGATGCCTATTTCTGTTTTTCTTTAAAATTTTGTTTAGCTTTAGTTCTGGCTGGTGGACATGCAAATGGCATGGCTGTTCAGGGACCACAAGATGGCGAGTCGAACAACACGACTGTTAGTTTATTCCTTCCTGTCTCAATACTAATTTTTTTTTCCGGCTATTACATACCTTGCCAACTTGTTCTACTTCAGATATTTGTTGGCGGCCTTGATTCTGATGTTAGTGATGAAGATCTCAAGCAACCTTTCTCTAAATTTGGTGAGATTGTCTCTGTGAAAATTCCTATTGGAAAGGGATGTGGATTTGTGCAGTTTGCCAACAGGTATTCTTCTTATTTTTCTGTGGAGCTTTCTGTCGTTAAATATGCAGCTTCTATTGCCGATCTTTACATCTCGCAAGTAATTAGAGGTTACAAAAAGGCAAGGTCACTGGTCAAGTTGGATTGACCCGTGAAATAGCAGTCAGTTTTGTTTGCCATAGTAGTTAGCGATATTGGGTCTACGATTTATTACCTATATGCCTGTGTCTTCTTTTAGGATATTTTGATTATGTAGCCTGCTTTTCTAGAATATATGTAGATATGTACTTTTTTATGATAATAATTAGCTATATATTTTCAAAAAGTAATGGCAAACCAAATTGACTTGATAGTAATCACCTTTTCTTCTTCTTTTTATTACCTAAAAAGTAACTTTTTATTGTAATCACTGATTTACTTAATTGATGCTACCTTGATATAGATTATGATAATCATGGTAGTCACTCATTGACATAGGTTTTATTCTTCGCCCTATATGTTATTATTTTTTTTTCTGAGATTCAATTTCTTCAATACTAATTTTCAATTATGTTAATATTTCCAACGACCCCTTATTTTATAGAGAAGTAAACACATGCGCCAGTAAGCATGGAGGATATTTAGTTAAAAAGTAAAATTAGAAGTCAAAACTCTTTAGAAAATTTCCATGCATATTAAATCATTTATTTTTTCAATAAAAAAGTTGGAAAAAAAAAAAAAACAGGGAGTATATGAGGCCAACCGAGAGAAGTTGTGCCCCTTTTGTTCGGGAGGTGTATACAATTCCAGTGATCTATAAGCGATGTAAGAGCAAGACTTTAATCACAAAAATATGGGGAGAAATTACACCACGTTAGAGCAAGATAAATAAGGTATTCAAAAAAGGATTCGATTTCCAAAGCATTGTCCTTGAAAATACAGCAGTTACGTTAAAGCCAAGTTAACCAAAGAAAAGCTTTGTTGATAGAAGAGTAGACAACTTCCTTTTCTTTGCTTAAGAGATGATCCAAAACGAGGATTTCGAGAAATATAACGGTAACATTTGGGCAATGTGGAATCTGAATGCCATAAGAACCCTCTTCCAATAGGACCGTGCAAATTTACATGTCGTGAAAAGGTGCATCATAGTTTCTCCACTGTCATGACAGAGGAGACACCAGTTTGGAGAGGAAACAATCCATGAGGATTTTTTTGAGCAAGGTGTCGGCTATGTTGATGCATCCATGATTAAATTCCCAATTCCCGAATGAATTATTTTACTTTCTTTGGGACAGGGCCTTTCCATAAACGTACACAAAAATCCTTGTGCATAATGTGATCACTGGATGTAAGCTTTTTGTGTAAGAACTCAAGTCCACCACTAGCAGATATTATCCTCTTTGGGCTTTCCCTTTCGGGCTTCCCCTCAAGGCTTTAAAACGCATCTGCTAGGGAAAGGTTTCCACTCCCTTATAAAGGGTGTTTCGTTCTCCTCCTCAACCAATGTTGGATATCACAATCCACCCCCCTTCCGGGCCCAGCGTCCTCGTTGACATTCGTTCCCTTTCTCCAATCAATGTGGGACCCCTACCAAATCCACCCTCCTTCAAGGAACAACCTCCTTTGCGGCACATTGCCCGGTGTAGATACCATTTGTAACGGCCAAAGTCTACCGCTAGCAGATATTGTCCTCTTTGGACTTTCTCTTTTGGGCTTCCCCTCGAGACTTTAAAACGCATCTGCTACGGAAAGGTTTCCACACCCTTATAAAGGGTGTTTCGTTCTCCTCCCCAACCAACGTGGGATATCACATTTTGTGTTAGGGATTTTACTGTGAAGGGAGGTGCCTCTGTCATCCAGAGTCCATCTCCAAAGATCTTCGATATTGGGGCTTGGAGGAGGGGAAATAATGGTGGAAAGGATAGACCAGTCATTGAACTACATTCCTTCCTTCCCCCCAGTTTATTAGGAACTTCAAAGTTTTATAGAACAACCAAATTAAATGACATAGCTTGTCGTTTGAGAGAATTCTTACTAATTTTTTTGTGATCAGATTAGTCCATAAATCTTGAATTATGCAAGGTTGTGTTATCAAGCGATAAGGAATTCTCCCAAGATTGGAAGACGTGGACTTTTTAGTACTTGCTTTCTTAGTCACTGGCTCCTGCATGGGTGATTTCCTTGTTTATAATTTCATTTGATTTCTTTTTTTGATTAGAAGAAAAGAAATAATCAAGGAATACCCTATAGGCCTGGGAGGTAAGAGATCCCCTTTCCTAATAGAAGGATTATACAAGTTGCTTTCAGAAGCAGAATAGTTACAAAATATGCTGTATAAGGCTATCCAATTTGAAGCTGTAAACTTGGCATTCAAGTCAGACATGGGTGTTTGCTCTTTACTCATACAACAAGCTACCTTTTGCCCGGTGCCTAAAATGAGCTACTGAACACAATTGGGTGAGGAGATTAATCCTATATGGTCCCTTCAACTTTAAAGAAGCTAACTTTTGGATTCATTCGAAACTGGTTTAAACTCTTTCTCCCAATTTGAAGCTGTAAACCATACAGTCACAAAAATCAGCAAAATTCATTATAAGTAGTTTTGTAATTGGCATTTAGCCTTTATTCTTGCTTATTTGGACCCCTGCTTAATCTACAAAATGATAGGTTGGTTTCTTACCGAAACTATGAACTTCTTCTCAAAATATCTTTTTGCAACCTATCTTCGGTGCTGAGGCTTTTGTAAGCCAAAGTTCATTGATATAATTTTACTTCTTTCAGAAAATTTCCATCTCGAAATCAATTTGGCTGAAATATTCTGATCAAGCTTGCCTTCACCATGTTTGTTGAAACAATTGCCAAATTTGCAAGATTATACACTCAATCCTCAAATTTTGTAACTATATCATCATTTTTATTGATTAGCAAAAACAAGCTTTAACTTATGAGGAGCAAGCCCATTTCCTAATAATCCATCAAATAGATTCGTTCTAAAGAAATGAATGCTTTCTTTCTTTTCTCCCCTCCCCCTCCGAGAATTTCATTTGTACAATGAAGTTTTTTTTTTTTTTTTTTCACTTTTTTTTAAAAAAAAATTGTGAATGCTTGCTTGAATAGATTAAATTAGCAATTATACGTTGCTTGTTTGTACGCTCAGCTGGTTTCTTTATACATTTTAAAGACTGGCAAAGTTGATTGATTGATTTTTTTTTTTTTTTTTTTTTATCAAGTGTGTCTCTGGTGCCATTTTCTTCAACATCAATAATGGAAAGCCAAGAGATATGATCTTTAGCTTCAAGATGTCATAGACGAGGAGTGCCTCATTTTCCATTCCTTCTCTTTTCCTCCTCATTAGTAAGGTGGATTGTGTGTGTCTGTTCGAGGCCTTGAGGTGCAAAGTACAGTGACTCAAGGCTTCTTTATTAATTGGAAAAAAAAAACGAAATTTCCTAACCCTAAATGCTTAAGTCGGTTTCATAATCACACACACACACAGAAAAAAAAAAAAAAGTTTGTACCACACTTAAGCTCTATAAGGCTACTATAATGCTTTAGAAAACACTATGGATCTTATTTTATGGATGTAAGGGACAGAACCACAAGGAAACTTATTCCTTAGTTGCCTCCTTGCCAACAAATACTGGTCCTATGCACACACACACACACACATATTTTTAAGAAACTGAACGTTCATGGTGAGTAATGAAAGAAATACAAGGGCAGATAAAAATCCAACCCAATAAAAAGGAAGTCCCCAAAACCAACCAAGGGACAATAATCCAACAAAATCAAACCAATATCGTAATTACAAAAAAGTCTAGTGACCGATGATAGCAAGGAGGCATTAAACCTTGTCAAGTCCCAAATCTCGTCACAAGACCTTAAAGACTCTATTATTCCTCTCAATAAATTTCATCAAAATTGCAAAGAAACTAGCATGCCTCAAAACTTTACCTTTACCGGTACTATATTCTATCCTCCTTCAGATGTCACATAGCAACAAATTGACAACTGCCGACTGCTGAGTGTGTTTTCTGAAAATGGGGTTTCAAATTAAAATTTAAACTCATTTGCGTTGCAGGATTTTCTCATTTGAGCTACTTAAAATTTTATACTATTTTACTTAGTTGTTTAATCTACAAGTTATTCGGATGAATGAATTTTTGAAAGAAGTTTGGATGGATTTTTTCTTTCTCATAATTAATCCTCTTTTTATTTATATCAATATGAAAGTATAATGTAGTCGATCAATTTATACTTGAAAGAACAGTTGATGATTTGTAGATAAACAATGACTTAAGAAAATACTGAAGAAACCTATAAGAAGTGCAAATTATTGATTATGTTCTTGTTGTTCTTGTTTCTAATGGTCTTTAGATGTCAGTTTTCTGAGTCAGAAACATTTTTTGTATTTAAAAATAATATTAATTTTTAAGTATAGCTTCTGTACAACGCCATGGTCAAGGTCCTAAGTTTTCATGCCATGTTTCACGATATGATATCTCCTATTGTTCCCTTTTGTTTCAAGCAAAACAAACTGAGATATAAAGTTCGTAATGATTTTCAAGACAGGAAAATTTCTATTGTCTTGTATCCTTCAGTCCAAGATTTAAGGGGTAAATTTTTACAGATAAAGAAATACAACTAAAAGCCAAATAAAGGGGAACCCAACGGGACAAAAAAGAAGACAAGGGAATGAACAAAAGTTAAAGAAATAATTAAGGGAACAAAATACAAGGGAGGAAGGTCTATACGTCGGGTCTTCGGCAATACTGATAGTGGCTTGGTTATCACAGTAGTCTTCCATTGGTGCCTCTGATGTTACTTTTAGTTAAGATCAGATTCTTTGGATCCACATTCCTTTACATATTCCTTGTGTGAGCTCTTAATCAGGTTCAACATTGCTTCTTGAAAATGAGTTGTTTTTTACTCTGCCATATTACTAGGTTGCCCCACACAAAGGTGCAATAGGTGGCAGTTGATCTTCGATTTACTTTTGAACTTGCCGAATCAACATCTGTGAAGACTTCATCTTTCTTCTTGTT